CATCTGACCAGGAATATGCCCAATCGGACATCAAGATGTGATGAATAATATTCAAAATTCCATAATATATTGACTTTTGAAAATATAGATTTTAAATGGTCACATGTAATAATATACTTCAGCCAAAAGTAGATTGATTTATGATACCATAGTGGCCGATTCATTGTTTTATCAATCCACTTTTTCAAACATCAAATGGTGGCAGCGGACTATAATCAGTCAATTAAGATTCCTGGGCCCTTATTCACGAAAATTTAAACTAAGATACAATCGAAATTTTAAGAAATACTGCAATTCGATTGGCTGACCAATATGCAAATTGGATATATGCAAATTGATTTTACTGGTCAGCCAATCGAATTGCAGTATTTCTTAAAATTTCGATTGTATCTTAGTTTAAGTTTTCATGAATAAGGGCCCTGGTCACATCCTTCTTTGAACTACTATAAATAATATATGTTGATCTTCTGGGTTTTATATTTTTCAATCTGTAAATTATATTGTTAATCATTATTTTCTGGGTTTTAAGTTTTACGTTCTGCATTCTGTCATAATGGTTTCTCTTCAAAAGAATTCATTAATAAAACTGTTCAAAAACGATTTTCTTTTGTTTCTGTGTTTTAGGAACAAAGTATAAATATATTTGTCATGAAAGGTATCATTTAAACAACATCCTCAACAGTAATCTGTCATATTTTTATTTTCTTTCTCATCTGTTTACTGGGGTTGTTCCATGACAGAAGAAACAAACAAAATTAATACAAAACCCTACACTCTACCAGTTCACCTGTGATATTAACAGGCCACCCAGCCATAGTTCAGTAGCTATACACTCCGAAACTTCCCTATACTATGAGGTCTTTGATGACTACTGTTATAGTCTTCAATGGAATGGGGATCACGTGGCTAAGAGGGTAAAGCGCTAGCTCGCTAGTCTGGAGGTCGGGTGTTCGATCCCTGCATTGGCCGAGAAAGTTCATCCAGATTTTCCGGCGTGGTTCTCCCTTGTCAGTGATGCAGGACGGAGGGGCTGACAAGGAAAGCTGTCTAGTCGTTCGGATGGGACGAAAAACCGAGGTCCCGTGTACACATTGGCGTGCACGTAAAAGATCCCTTGGCAGTTGGAATTCGATATAAGAGTAGGCCGTAGTGCCGCTGTCCTGGCAAAATTTCCCTCATAGCACACTGTATGGCGTATGCCCGTCTTCATTAGCCCAGGTTAGGAGCAGAACAGTAGGACGTTAAACTCCATTTCATTTCATTTCATTTCTTCAATGGAATTATTTCATGACAGAAGAAAGAAACCATATCAAGACAAAACCCCACACTTATCCTATTAAATGGGAACTTCATTCTAATGACTATTGTTATATTCTTTAGTGAAATTATTTCATGACAGAAGAAAAAAACTATATCAATACAAAACCCTACACTCATCCTATTAAATTGGAACTTAATTCCAAAGTCCTGGGTCCTTATTTTCTTTGAAATCTAAATTAAAATATTTTAAAGCTACCTTTTCATTGGTTGAGGTTAAAATCCTAGTACAAAGTTCAAGTTCTTAGCCAATGAAACAGCTGCTTTCTTAAAATATCTTAGTTAAATACTAATTCTATGATACTAATTCTATGAATAATCCATCTGAGTACAATTTAGTGTGGATTAAGCAGTTCCAAAAAATGCAAATGACAATATAAGTCTCCTTAATGACCATTTATTATGTTTTGCCTAAAAATTGATTTCATAGTGTTACAAATCTTGATTTTTTGTCTGTCAGCCCTCTACTTCCTTAAAATTCCAACAATTAAAAATTTGGCATTTCTTTTGAATTCTAATTTCTTATTCTGTTTTCTGTTACTATACTTCAGAATGCATTGAAAGATAAGCTGAAGAATTCTTCTCCCAACCCCAAACCACCGAAAAGAAAACTGAAGATTCTAGATTTAGAAACCAAAATTCAAATCTTGAAGGAAGTAGATGAAGGCCAGGCTCCCAAATCATGTATTGCCGCTAGATATGGAATACCACCTAATACTTTAAGTACTATATTAAAGAATCGACAAAAACTTTTTAACGTTTATGAATCAAATTCATTCTCTCTTAATAGAAAAAAATTCCGTTTGGCCAAGCATCCCAAGTTGGAAGATGCTTTGTGCGAGTGGGTTGAATATGCGCGAAAACAAAAGATTTACGTTAGTGGAGCTCTGTTATTAGAAAAAGCTACAAATTTGGCCGAAGAACTTGGCATTATTAATTTCAATCCTACGAGTGGATGGTTATCTAGATTTAAACAGAGAAGAGGAATATTTTTTAGTGTTTGATGAGTTTTTATTTATTCAGGAATTGCGACTTTAAACAGTGGATTAAAAACTGATTTATTTCCCATTGTGTATGTTCATTGTGATCTGAAGTATGTATGTGGAATAATGTGAAATGAAACTTTTACAAATTCTAAATAAATATAGATATGCATATTTAACTTTAAGTTTGGTTGACAACATATTACTCTGACTTCCATAAACAGATTTCTACCTTAATTAAAATTATAGTTTTAAATTGTCCAGTGTCTCTCTTATAGGCCCACATTAAATTACTTTTCAGCACCAACCGGGCTAATGAAGACAGGCATACACCATGCAGTGTGCTATTAGGGAAATTTTGTCCAGACTGTGGCATTATCCAACTGTCAAGGGTTCTTTTACATGTACAGTGTACATGGGACCTCAGTTTTTGTCCTCTCTGAACGACTAGACACTGTACCTGTCATGCTCAAATGATAAGGGGATATATACTATCTAGAAAATTACCCTCCTAGCACACAGCATGGCGTATGCTCGTCTTCATAAGCCCAGTCAGTGCAGAAAAATAAAACATTAAAGTCCATTTCTTTGGTCTGATCATAAGTATGTATTCTGTATGATTCTTTTTATCTGCTAAACATCAATTTTCCATTAATATTTGCAAAATCCATAGAAAAAATCCAAATTCAAAATTCAGCCAATTTCTCCAAGAATTTTAAATGGTTAGGAACACAATGAAGGAAATCGAGAAAATCTTCGTATGATCTGCAGATCAGCATTTAAATACATGTATATTTAAAAAGAATTTTTTCTCAGTCTCTTGCAGATTTTTCCATGGATAATAGCAGTTTTGAATTATTAAAGTTCTGTTCAAAAGTTCGGACAAGACTGACAGGCCAACAAAAGAGGGATATATGTTTTTATAAGAAAGAGAGACCTAAAGCCACATTAAAAGAAATGGTTGAATATTTTGGAGAAAAGTGGAATTTAAAAATAGGCATATCTACAATTTGTGATATTTTGCATGACAAGCACAAATGGTTGAGTTAAACAGATCAAAATCTTATAAACCCTGTGATTAACTGAGGTTTGTGTTGAGGCCAAAACAATAATTGCTGTGTTTATGGTTACTTGACTCTGAATAATAGGAGCTGTCGATCAAAAATTCATTTAGGAGTTTGGGGTACACAGATACTTGCATTCTAATGCCTTCATGTCTTTTTAAATACTGTAAAGTGTAAATATTTAATTACTGAGTAAGGTTTTTTGAAAATAATGCTGGTTGAAATTGTTTTAAATACTGAAAAATTTCAATGCTGGAATTTGTCTGCAGAAAACCATGCCAAGACCGATTTTTAGAACCTGGGAAATAAGAAAAAAAGATTTGGGTCGAAATGGTAACCGTAAACGCAGGTATTAGGGGATTGAGGGTGGGCTAATAAAAATCATTCTAAGATGTTTTAACATATTCAAGTTTAGTGTGATTGACAAGAAATTCCCATATACAAGTTTCAAGTGCTTTTTTGGTCAATTACCAATTACTACCTGAATTCTGCAATGAAGGTGGTTAATTTCAGTGAGAATCCAGTTGAATATGGTATATTTTTGTCTCTGTTATAGTTATTGTACATCATTTTGGGGACAACAATGTACATACAAATGACATATATAAATGGAAATTTTTTATGAAATGTTATATAATCAGGCATTATAGAAGAGGTAAATCTGTCTATTACAGGTCTTTCTTTCATCCTTAACTGTATTAATTAGACATTTATTAACATGACAAGACATAATGAACTCTCAGTGCCGTCAGATGCCTGTTTTGAGTAGATTAGAATGGATCGACCATTTGATGATTTAATTCAAAAGTGGAGAAGCGAGACTAAGACTCAAATGACCAGGATGGTAGTTATGATCAATGCACACATCTTGTCAAAACTACAACCATTGATGACTTTGCTTGAAATAATGTAATTTGAATGAAATTTTCAATATATTCATTTTGCATTATCTTTTTTTGAAATATTATAGCAAGAAAGGGTATCTCTTTATCTAAATGGGGGGTTAGATGGCCGAATGGTTATTTGACATTTCATTAACAAAACATCCCAGCTTGGATTCAATTGGATTTTCCAAGTACTTTGAATGTCTATATGACATTTCATTATCAAAACATCCCAGCTTGGATTCAGTCAGATTAAAAAGAGTCTGACCAAATGATTCAATGTAACTCATAAGTGATGTTGACTGTATCCTTTGTATCATCTGAAAATTGTTGACAGATTTTCAGTTCATCATATCTTTGTAAATACTGAATGGAATTGGACTTTTTAGAGATTCAGCTTGCACCATATTGTTGTTTGAAAGGGATTAGCAATTCCTCAAAAGATGATCCGAAACTTTAATATTTAGAAGGCTGAAGGAACACAATTTTGGATCATTTCCTGTCACTTTCAATACACAAATGATCAAAGACTTATTAAAAATCGACCTGATGTTTGTTTAACATCAATGCAACTTATTTATGGGACTGCAAACTATGAGAATAGCTTAAAAGTAGTTACCAAAATTCACAAAAATATTAATTACCGTAAGCAGTCATAAATAGAAGTTCAAAATTACAGCATTTAGACTCCCTTATAAATGGCAGAATCTCATAAGATTTTGAAGATTTGAATTTTTCCTTCTTTTTTGTAGGACTTTTTTGGATTGAACAACAAACTGCAATGTCTGTGGTGTGGCCAGATCTTCAATGTTTCTACTGAACTTACTAAACATGAACTCAGCAATCATGGTATATACAACCCTACGTCACGGAGGCTGCATTATCAGTGTCCTTACTGTACACAAGTTTGCTCGTCAAAGGGCAGTGTAAAAGAGCATATTAGTATTATACATATGAACTTCCGTGTAAATTGCCCACTCTGTGACAAGTCGTACACAAGAAAAATTGATCTAAGATATCACATTACGAGACAACATTCGCCATCATTAGGAATAATCAAAACAGGAGTCAGACCACTGACTAATTTACGTCATTCTGACGGTTGACATGTCTCAGAAATTTGTGTGAATATGGATTGCAGTCTCATAAACGGTGAAATTTCCACAGTGTGACAAGTCGTACACAAGAAAAATTGAGCTGTGATATCACATAATAAAACTACCTTTGCTATCTTTTGGAATAATCAGGCCAGAATTTAGATCACAATCTAATATACGTCATTCTGATAGTTGAGATTTCACAGAAATGTATATGAATATTGATTGCAACCTGTAAAATTCAAATCATAATCACTATGTGGCATAATCATTGCAAAGAAAAACTAGTTACTTTTGGTGTATTTATTGAGTTGGTGAAAAAGTTTAAGTTTTGGTTAAAATGAGAGGGTTTATGTAGGCCATTTCAGGACTAACAGAATTCGCTTGTGTGTAGGGGTCTTTAATATTGGGAGGAAACCGGAGGAGTATAATATCAATGGTAGATATCTCCCAGCTTGGAAAGGCTCATCAAAAGTTTTTACCCAACACTAACAGAGGGTATTGACTTTTTATGCAGATTATGCTGAATCTTGACAAATTTTCAATTCACCATATTTTTGTAAATTCCAGTGTCACAATATTGTTGTTTGCTATAGATTCAAAATATCTCACGGGGCTTTAAATTATTTTACAATTCTGACAAATATAAGTAGAGTACATTGTTCTTCCACTGCAAATTTTAGTTTTGAAAAAATTTGTTATTTTATTAAAACAAGTGGTATAAATTTAGTAATTTTATTGCATAACTTGTATGAATTTTATTTGATCCACAAGCCCTGACATGTGTACAATTCTGGACTTTCTCTTCAAACTTTGGCAGCTGCTCAATTTTTAAAGTATTTCGTTTACCTCAGATTAGAATTTAGAAAGGGATTTTTTCCTAAGACTGTAACAATATTTAGCAACACCCCAATTTATATATATTTTTTAATAATTTTACACATTTAACTACCGGTATCGAGTTACCTTTATTTATTGTGTTTTAAGGAAATATGTGACAATTTTTTGCAATACCCCAATTTATATATATTTTTTTAATAGTGTTACACATTAAACTACTGGTATCGAGTTACCTATATTTATTGTGTTTTAAGGAACAAATCCTTAAAATTCTAATAATTTGAACAGCAGTTAATTTCTACATGTACTTACTGTGTTTTACGGTTAAAATCTTTAAAATTCAAATTTTATGCCACATAAATTTAATGACCAGTAAATTCTTTCTCTGGCTGGTCAATTTCACTGCCAGTCAGCGAAGACTGCATATTTGCCTGAACCAAGAGCCCTGGTACATATATTATTTTATATGGAGAAGTGAATGTAAATCATAATTATGATGGTAGCCACAGTGACTCAGTGGGTGAGACGTTGGCTCGCTAACCTGGAGGTCCTGTGTTTGATCCCTGCGTTCATCAGGATTTTCCGGCATGGTTCCTCCTTGTCATTGGTGCAGGACTGAGGGCCTTGCAAGGGACAATGTATAGTCATTTGGATGGGACGAAAAAATGAGGTCCCACATAGCACACTGTATAGCGTATCATATGCCTGTCTTCATTAGCCCTGTCGGAGCAGAAAAGTAGGATGTTAAATGTTAAACCCCATTTAATTTCATTTCATAATTTGGTGATTTGTTTGTAAGCAATTGGGGGATATTCAATTGAACAAAAATGAATTCTCTCAATCCAGCAAATAGTGACAACTCAACAATAGTACCTGACATTTTTAACTTTATTTAGAAGATCGTAATATATTTGTTTATATTAATAATGTGACGAAAAGCCTGATGAAAAAAAAATGATGCCCAGGCAGCCTATTTTGAAGATAATTTCGTTAGTAATTATAAAATAATATTTTATATCGTTTAAAGATGCATTAATTAAAATGTTGATAAAAGCTGACAGTTCTCGCTATAATAGTTAAAATATAGATAATGAAAAGGAAATATATTGAAAATTTCAGTCAAATTACTTCATTCTTAGCAAACTTATCATTGTTTGCAGAACAGTGTAGTCTCGATTGTCATTGCTGCCATTGTTACGATAATAAACAAAGTCTTGATTATCCAGTTTTTTAATGGGAATCATTAACTGCCAATGGTATTTAAATCTGTTAGATTGAAACCATCCTAAGTTCTAGAGAGTTGATTATGGACCAGGCATGTAGACAAATGTCTAATTAATGACATTTGAGGCCAAACAAAAGATCTGCATTAGGCAGATTTAGTTTTTGAATAATGCATCTTTAAGTAATTAATTATTATTATATAATGTGTTCTTTACTTGCTGTTCATTCACAGTTTACATAATTATTTATATAATTAATAAATATAATGGATATATCTTCTCATACCTTGTCTTGAATGCCTAGCCCCAATCTATTTTGTGTGTCAATATATAGACTGGAGAATTTGCTCTAAATCATAGTAAATGACTATAAAGGGATATATCATCTATCATCAGTAATGTCAAATCATGGTTGTCTGCTACCCGTCTTTACATACAATGGTAAGCGCTGGAGAACTGATCTACAGACAATATACACAGACATTGCGAGCAATAAACAACAACTGTAATATATCAGATCAAGTGAATGGATTCGGGAACCAGAATGTCACATGATATATAGAGAGTGTTCTAGCCCATAAAACAAGGTCATAGCAATATTGTATCAGATGTTTATAGTTTGTATATATATACTACTTCGAAAATGTCCTGTTCCCTCCCTGCCTCCTTAAAGCCATTAGGAAGGCTAGAGAAAATATCGGAATTATACATGAAGAAAGCCAATAGTTATGACATCCATACAGTGTTTAAGGTCATGAGATGAAGAATCCTATTGATGTTTAATGATTTCTGATTATTACTGCCAGACTTATAGCCCTTGGTAGCCCAAACATCTCAGGTAAACAAGCAGTAACTTTGGACCTCAGTGTTGTAAGGTCATGAGGGGAAGAAGCCTACTGATATTTAACAATTTCCGATTATTGCTGCTGGAGTTATGGCCCTTGTTAACAAAACAATCTTATGGACACTCTGGCAATAACGATCTAGTGGGACGGTAAATTTGCATGGAGAAATGTTAAGCAGGAGAAAGGAAAATCTGAGGGGAGAAACTTGATATAAAGGAAAGAAAGAGGTTGTCGGGTCAAACGCTTTCTTTTTAGCAAGGGTTTCTTTTCTGACTCTGAGTTTTTCTTTCTCTAGCATTACCAAGTTGCCTTACCATGGACAAAGGCTTACAAAGCATAGAAAAACTGGTGTAAAAAAATACAATTCAATCCCAAACTCTGGTCTATAGAAATTAGAATTTGAATGGCTCAGATGTGTAATTATTCTAAAAGAACCAAAAAGGCTCGGACCATTAGTGGTTCCTGAGTTTGCCTAGACCCCCATCTACACACACACACACCAACCGAAAACTCCATACACATCAAACATACGGTACTTCCATGGAAAAATAAACCCAAATTACTGCTACAGAAAAAGTACCACGCTGTGTGAATCCATCCCTCTCTCTCCAACTAATGTACACTACCAACCATAGCAATTATTGTAAAAGTAAAAGGAGAGTTGAATTAGGAACAGAGAGAAACAAAATTATTTCTGGAATTCTCTTTGACCATCTTTGGAATTAATATGTACATTATTATATTGTTTTATTTTCTATTTGCAGGGTGGTCAGTTCATGTCTGAAATATTTCGATGTAGTATTTGTGGGAAGAGTTTTACCTGGATGCAGAACCTCAAACGCCATTGTCGTGTGGCTCATACAGATGAATGCCATAGTTGCACTTTGTGTGGAAAAACTTTTAAAAGAACTGACAATTTGAGATATCATATGAAGCAAGTTCATAAGGAATTTCCACTGAGTAGGAAACAGATACTACCATAAAAAGTGGAATAAAAAAAAATTGTCCTTGGATTCTTGCAGATAGATGGATTAGGTAGCTGTGAGTTTAGAGATGGTTATTAGCCCATTGTGCATGGTCTCATTGCCGCTAACGTTCACTTCTGTTCTTCTCTTCTAGTGAACAGTTTATTTATCACCGGAATTGACAAATTATTGTTTTATGAACAAAGTGATGTCTATGATTAACCAACAACAAATGATTTACTATTTAAAATATTTAGCCAGTCCTGTTGCTTCAAAGAAAAGTTTCATCAAGTGTGTGGTTCACTAGAGAAGCCTAGTCAAAATGTATCTCAATATAAACAATAATTGTATTCGATAGTATTATATCCTGTGTATGTTCAGTTCAGTTAGTAAATGGCATTGAAACAATCTGTGTGTTGTACTGATATCAAAAAAAGTATTTGTCACAATTGATTTTGTTTTAGTTTTTATACGCCTATATTTTATATGGAATATATTGTTGCCACCTCTGTCCGGCAGTCCATCCATATGTTCACAATGCTTGTAAATGGTCTAAAGATAAGAGCATTTGTGATTTTGTTTTCAGTTTGCTGAGATTTTCTTTAGAGGAACTGTATAGATTCTGAGCAAACTTATTGCTCCTGTCACCGAAACCATGTAAAATATATACAAGTCAGAGTTTCTGAGATTGTTCGACAACTCATAAATAGGAATCCTGTGGATATTCAGTCACCAAAACATTGAAAATGCTAAACAGATTTTGAGATACTTTTGAAAACTTGCTAAAACTGTTTGATTAGTCGTAAATATAAAACCTATAGAAATACAGAGGGGCACATCGAATTTGAGCAGAGTTATTGCCCCAGCAATTAAAACCTTGTAAACCATGGGACATAAGAAGGAATTCAGGCTTGAAATAGATTTTCTCTGCGTACACTTAAATTTGATCTCAAGACATTCTGGTTGTGAGTTTAGTGTCCTAACCACTCTTCCCTGACAGGGAACCACTGTGGCTTAATGGGTAAGGTGCTGGTTTGCAAACCAGGCGGTCAAAGGTTCGCTCTCGAGGTTGATCGGAGGGCCCGGCAAGCATGACGTCCAATCATTTGGATGGGACGAAACACCAAGGGCAAAAACTTCCCTCATAGCACACTGTATGGAGCTTGCCAGGTTTTATTGGCCGAGTCGGTGCAGAAAAATAGGATGTTAAATTCCATTTCATTTCTTCCCTGATATAATGGGGAAATCCTATTGAAATTCAGTAATACACTGATTTTGCACAGAGCCAGTGTTCCTGTAACCGAAAGGTATAATGATTGTTGTAATTGTTCACCCTATGAAAATTATGGGTCACAGATTTTTTTAACCCAGAGTTACTGCCCCTGTCAGCGAAACCTTGCATCTTCTCTGTGTAGGTGTACAAAAATCAGAACCTAGTGTTATTTACTACCCCTGAACAAATATTCACTGATACTGGGAGGATCATAAAATCTTTCGTTGTGTCAGGGGGGGGGGGCATGGTGGCTAAGTGGCTCGCTAGTCTGGAGGTCGGGTGTTCGATCCCTGCATTGGCCGAGAAGAAAGTTCATCCAGATTTTCCGGCGTGGTTCCCCCTTGTCAGTGATGCAGGACGGAGGGCCTGACAAGGACAGCTGTCTAGTCGTTCGGATGGGCCAAAAAAACGAGGTCCCGTGTACACATTGGTGTGCCCATAAAAGATCCCTTGACAGTTGGAATTCGATATAAGAGTAGGCCGTAGTGCCGCTGTCCTGGCAAAATTTCCCTCATAGCACACTGTATGGCGTATGCCCGTCTTCATTAGCCCAGTTCGGAGCAGAACAGCAGGACGTTAAACCCCATTTCATTTCATTTCAGTCAATAAAGTAACTGACAAGGAGTAGGGTTGCCTGCCCAACCTTGTGGGTTTTCTAAGGGTCCTGCATTTCTCCCACTGCTAAATTTTAAGACATCTATGCTGAACCGAATTTTTGAAATAAAATTTAACATATTATGTTAGTCCCAATATATAATCCAGTCTGTGTTTAGTGGATGTTACTCCCCATTTCTCTCTCCCTACTTTTCAATAAAATATCAAACATAATTATGCACAAGAGAATTAGCAGAAATGGTTATATTATTATGATTCTGATATTATCTTATTGCATCATAAAGTAATCGCAATAACTATATGTTGTAGATTTATGTAATAATGAATTGTCTACAAAATCAAACAAATATTTTTGAAGGCACACGGTCATATAAAATTCGAGAATATGATCAAACGGGAAGACGTTGTCTGTAGTTCACATCCAATCCGTTAATTTTCAGAGGCCGGGAAAAAAGTCGGAAGATACCGAACTATAATTTATGCAAGATTGGTGAACGCGTCGAGAAGAAAGGAAAAAGAGGAGTGGTGTGAAAATGATATAACCCACAGTTAAGTACAGTTGAATACTATAGTAAGTATTTAAAAGCATCAAAAAATGCACTTTTCAACGTTCGTTTTTTTGTGTTTTTTTTAAAAAAAGCATCAGCTAGGCTAATACTCGAGTCACAACTAAAATTCCTAAACGCGCACCTTCTCCAGAAAAATCAAAATGGCGCATTTCCTGACGCTATCATGGCCTTGAAATAAGTAGCATAGTCAGTCATAGTGACATAGATGTTCCGGACTTTTCTTATTAGACAAGAGAAATTGATTGCAAGAGGAATTTGGTATCAAAGAAACTCAAGAGGTTTATCCGTAGCCTATTGCTAATAATGAGATTACGAAAGAGAGGATAAGGGGTAAAAAAACAAAACAAAGGCCAGCAATGTGAATGGCAGCAATGAGCAATACTAGGTTAATACTAGATCTACTAATAATTCAATTTATCTATTTGAATTTTTGAAATCGGTTCCGAACTTATTATTTTATAGCTGGTTTTAATAATAATAATTTAATATATTTATTTTTATTCTCAACTATGTACAAGCATAAGTTAAAAGTTACAAAAAAACATTTCACATTGTCACGGTGATGCATAACATTTAACAATATCTAACTGAATATCTTACAAAATAACATTAATTTTATATACCCATGTAAGCAGCATATGATTTTGTAAAATTCCTTCAAAAATGGGGAAAAGAATCATCAAAATTATATTTTGACTCAGGACTGATTACTGAATTGTCTTTGGAGCGGGCTCAAATTATACAAACACATACTACGGTACAAGATCTCAAACACAAAATCAACCACCAAAATATTTTTTAAAATTTTTATTTGGAAAAAATTTAATGGAAATTGGCCATATAAAAAAAAATAACATTATAAATTATAAATAAAAAATTTCATTAAATTTTAATCTTGAAAAATTGTTTTCTCATCTGGAATAATAAAATCAAACTGTGTTTTCTTTGAACTTTGACCAGTTATGAAATATTAAATAAAATATGAAATTTAATAATGGTAAGGAAAAGAATTGTAACAAAGATCTATCCCATTTAGTAGGCCTACCAGTGGCTACCACTTGCTAAATTGTATACATATAGTCAGTACATCTACAAATAAATATTTGCTAAGTTGAAATCAATAATAAAACTATTTTAATAATTTTTAATTGGGATAACATTATGTGAAATAGTCTTATTTCTGACTGGAGTGGAAAAAAATAACAATAACACAGTAACTAAAAAAGACACTAGATCTTAGAAATTGGCATTGATACTGGATCTTGGCCGATCTGGAAAATATCTTTCCATGTTTATACCCACACTTCTAACCCTAACCCGTCAGAATAGTTTTACCCACAATCCACTGTTTTTACAGCTTCAATTTGTATGTTTGACATGTAAATTGTAAACCTAACCCTAAAGCTAGAAAGATATTTTCCAGATCGGCCAAGATCTAGTATAATGCTAGAAATTGGATTTCTTTCTGATGTTCAACCTTGACCTCTTAACGGTTTTGAGTTGAATGGAACCGGTATCAATTGCAGGAAACAGTCATGAGGCCGCAACAAAAGACCTACTTTTCACGAAAAAATTACGCCAGAAAAATAAGTTTGTCCCTTTTTTGGTTGAAATTGCTAATGATAGGAAACATGAAATGATACTTTGATACTTTGGAAATAGTCTTGTGTGGCAGTTCAAGTGATAGTTTATTTTTTTCATTGTGGTGAAATGTTTTTGTGTCAAAATGGTCATGTAGAATGTCAAACATACCGGTACATGTATTTTATTGAATTTTCTCATTTTCACCTTTTTGGTAAAAATAGTGTTTTATAAATTGTATGATCTGTTTTTTTTTTTAGACGATTATTGTCTATATAACATTAACAAGCCTATAATATTATTTTCTTTCTTAACAAAAAATAAAATCCAAATCGTAACCTTTTGGCTTGTATTGATAATACACCAAATCTAGTAAAGCATGTCTGTTTCATTAGTGCGGTTGGTGCATAACAGTTTCACTTTAACTCCCATTTAATTACATTTTTATTTATTAAATGTAACCGCCCTGTCGCTATGCTTTATATCTGATTTTCGTTCTCATTTCAGAATATCAACAAAAAAAAGCATAATGTCTACAGATGAGAAATCTGCTAACCAGTTTATTTCTGCCCTGGTGAAGAATTTACAAGCTGTGTGTCATGGCCATGTTGATTTTGATAAAAATGTGAAAGTTGTGGGCCATCTGTATTTAACTGTTGACAGTAACTCAGAATTTAATTACATCGTTAATGAAAAAGTGTCAAAAAGTGATGAATCTTCAACAACATTTATCAGTAAAAGTTTTTATGCCACTGATCCCCAACAAAAAACACCAAAGAAAAATTTAGATAGACCTCTTCCTCCTCCCACTCCAAATGTGTTGGGAAAAACTCGATATGATATCAGTGTTGACTTAACAGATGACCATCCACCTGGTGCAATGGGTGGAGGGCGTTATCAAATGGGACAGCAGCGTGGTCAATTTTCCAGGCCTGGTGGCTTTCCTGTAAGGGCACCACAAATGAGAAGAAGACCATTTGATCAAAGAATGTCTCCCCAACAAATTGCTAAAATGCCTCGTTTATCATCCCCCCAGCGTCACCCAATGAACTTGCCATCAACATCACCCCGTAGAATGCCAAATTTATCTTCAAGATTACCAGCTCCATCGTCATCAACTGTACCGTCCATTTCTAGTGAAACAAATTCATCTCCCTCATCTATTCCACCTGAATCGGTTTCCGCCACCCCAGCTCAATCTCTTCCTGGTGCTGATAAACCAGAAAAAGAATCCGGTGATAAGGAAAAAGTTGGAGAAAAAACAGCGGAAAAACCTGACATTAAATTTGAAGTGATAAAAGTAGAAAATGGCAGTGTTGTAGCTAGTAATAAAGATGCAACAAGCGAAGGAGAAGAAAAAGAACTTAGAATAGAGTCTGTGACTAGTCATGATTTATCATTTGTGCCTGAAACTGAAAAAGACAAAGACAGTGAAAGTAAAAATAGTGAAACTAGTGACTCTGATAAACCTGCATCAGATCCTCCTCCAGAAACTCTTTCAACAGAAGCAACAGAAACAGCGGAACCAAGTACACCAAATAAAAGTCCTCCAAAATCAAACGAACCTGAAGTCATAGAAATAGATTTAACTAAAGTAAAAGATGAAATTGATAGTACAATGGAATCGGATACAAGTTACATGTATGATGATCAAGGGGGTAACAGGTTCTCATCAGGTACATATAGTTGATAAAAATCATATTGTTTAACCCTTTCATTACATGGTACATTTAACTGGTCACCAGCTTATAATCATGCATTGCACAAATTGTTATTGGGGGCTGGGTGACTGTGTTCTAATACCTAGAATATCATGCCTAGAATATCAACCATTCAAATAGCAAGTACATGTATACACATTGTTTATCGTGACCTGGCAACATGTTGAAAGACTTCTTTTATCTATCACTGAGCTATAACAAAACTGAAGGTGGGTCCATCCACTGAGCTACATGTATAAATAAATATAGAGATAGGTGTTTTCCAGCAATGTTATATATTTTTTCCTAACAGATAGTTTTAGTCAAAATATTTTTAGTCAAATGTTTTATCTTTCAGGTCAAGGTGATAATAGTCTTTCTAGTTTTGGCGGTGAATCAAACGACGATGAATTTTTTGCTAGTTTACGTGAACAAAGTTTAGGACTTTATCCCGTTGGTTTACATGCCAATGAATCGAACAATCCTGGTCAAAATTTACTTGGTTCTGACATTCCTAACTTACCCGGTACTCAACATGGTGCTGGCTACTTACCAGGTAAGATTCCTTCCCAATTCAACAGGCTTCAGGGGACTGTGGCAGTTTTTGGCAAAGACACTGGACTATCAACTAGAATCGTACCTGGTTTAAATCTCAACAAGAAATTTTTAATGGCTCACTTCCCTTTGAGTGAGAAATATAATGTTTTTTTGACTTTTTGGAATGAACGTGGGCCATGCAGCTATTTTAAGTGATGTGTTGGCATACGTATATCTGAAAACCAGAATAATTTTTTTCCTGTATGGCCTGAAAATCCACAATCTTTCATTCAGTTGTTTAAATAAAAGAAATGTATTGATTACATGTACATGTGATATTTTATTTCAGTTGCTGGTACCAGCACCTCATCGCCATCAAATCAACCGGTAGGTTCACCTTTTCATTATACCATCTGAACATTGTCTTATTACATATAATAAAAAAAGATACATTATCAGATGATATACATGTACTTATTCCTGGTTTCGAACTTCGCTCACAATATTAACATAAGATCTTACATAGTTTCAATTCCCTGAATTATCACAAATTCATTTGAAATTTGATTTCATGCTTCAGAACTGCTTTTTCACACTTAGTTTTCCTGGAAGTTCAAGTCTCTAATCATCATTTGAAGAATTGTGCATCCCTTGCATGCATCCTACAATATTTTGAAAGTTGAATCTCTAAAAGAAATATCTGTTAAAAATGATTCAACTCTATTCAGTATAATTTTACTAAGATATGCATTAAAACTGTCTTTGCAATATTCGGTCTCATGGACATGGTCAAAGCAGGTGCCATATGTTTTCACTGTAATCTTTCGATAAGTTTCTTTTTAATTTGATTAAATCCTAGCCTTGAGATAATTTCCTGTTGATATTTTGTTTTTATAAGTAAATGTTAATCACTTTGAGTACATTTTAATATTCCCCCCCCCCCCCAAAAAAAATGCAAATGATGATAAAGAGACTTTAACTGATATAAAGAAAGCAGTTTGACTACAGAAACCATTTCAATGGCTAATCCCCCATAACATATAGAAAGCAGCGTATTTAATAACTGTCCCAGATCATACTATCTTAACAGCTAATAAAACAAAATTAAAGCCATGAAAACAAAGCAATGTAGGATCTATGTAAGAAAATTTATACTATCAAAACAAAAAGATATGTGTTTTAACATCCTCCATATCATACAGAAAGCAGATAACCATGCAAACAAAACAAAATTTTTTGCTCTAAGAATGAAATGAAGTAGGATCTTTGTTATAATATGATTGATAAGAGAGGATTAGTAATAAAGGATAATGTATATTTATTGTTATGTAAAAAGACAATGTTAAAAGCTCCACTGACATGAAGATAATCCATTGATAATAAATAACTGTAATGCAATGAAAATGAGTGAATTGAGGAATAATTTTGTGTGCTGTTTTGTATAGTGGAGATCTACATGTTAAAAGCATACATATATGTAGTTTTGGAAAATGATTTATTTGTTGATAATTTCAAAATTATGTTTTTGTTCAAGAGTTTGTATAAGTTTATGGATGGTTTGGGGAAAATGATGTATTTGTTCTTGGCAATTCTAAAAGTATGTTTTCTGAAATCGGTACGGTGGTTCTTTTCAACAAATTGTTTGTGGTTTTTCTGAGGATGGATGTAGAGAGATACTGGTAATTTATAGTAAAAGTGGTGGTTTTCTCAACCTAATTTTTCCTATTATTATTACCACTTCAGTTCATGGAGAGGGTACCAATATTGAAAAAGAATTCGAAGGAAAGAAAGGAAATGGATAGTGGGAATGATATTCCACAATCTAACAAAGCTTGGAAGAGAAAAGCTGTTGATTTAGGCACTAAAATTCAAATCTTGAAAGAACTAGATGAACAACATGGAACGAAAGCGGAACTTGCTAGAAAATATAAATTGCCTGAAAGTACTCTTAGAACAATAATTTTGAATAGGGAACACTTTGAAGATTTGTATAAAAATTCCACAATATCACTTTCAATGAAAAGAGTTAAGGTTAATGCCCATCAGAATATTGAGGATGAATTGGTTAAGTGGATAGTAACAGCTAGAGAACTCAAACATGCTGTCAGTCGACCAGTTTTAATCAGAAAAGCCAATGAAATTGCTAGGAATCTGGGAGATATGTCATTTAATGCCACTCGGCAATGGATTTCGAGATTCAGAAAGCGCCATGAGATTTTCAGTGATAATGTCAACAGATGATATGTGAATCACAGTTGGGAGTATTCTTGTTAAATTGTTTTGAGTTTGTTATTTTGTAGTAGACAAAACTAAGACTAGGTTTACCAGAGATTTCTTGAAGTAAAGTTTGATAATCAAAAATATTGGCGTTTTGTATTTGAAGAGGTTTTTTGTTGGTAATTTTTTTCCAGACTCCTTTTTGAGGGTCGAATGTCGTCCTCTGTATTTTTCCATTTTTGAAGAAAACAATTATTTTTTCTTCCATGATCCCGACGTTGTATAGTAAAATATTGATAGATCGTCATTTGATGACTTCTATCTCGAATTCAGTTTTCCACCACATCTATATTTTACAAGAAAACAATGATTTGTTTATCATGAAAATGATCTCCAGACGTATGTAAATTGTTGATGGTTTGAACATCATTTGATTTCTATTACCACTTCAGTTTAAGAAGATGGTACAGAAGAGAAGGTCAATAGATTTAGAGACCAAGTTCCAAATTTTACAGGATGTTGACGCAGGTCACCTTAGGAGAAAAGATATTGCCGCTAAGTTTGGTTTACCATTCAGTACATTAAGTACAATTATTAACAAGAGGAATGCCTTTGAAAGCTTTCGTTGTTCTACGATTTCCAAGACCAGAAAGAAACTTCGTTCTTGTGTTTATGTAAATGTTGAAGATGCTTTATGTAAATGGATTGAATGGGCTCGTAGTGAAGATATTTTTATTAATGGACCAATAATGATCAATAAGGCTAACGAAATTGCTCAAAATTTGGGTATTGCCTCTTTTAATGCCAGTAATTCATGGATAGACCGGTTTAAAAAGAGGAGAGGAATGGTTCTTCATGCATCAAATTATGGCACATGAATAACGCCACACCTACATGTATTAATTAAGTTTGCTTATTTCCTGAATGTGAAAATGAATTCAAAACAAAAGTACATGTACACTACTTGGTGGCTCTTTTCAAAGACTTGTTTTCTCATAAATTTATGACTGAAGAATTAAAAATTGATTTTGTCTGGTCTAACCAAAAAAAGTGTTAAATGCTATTCTTCTTGACATAAAGATTGTTAGTTTTACAGTTTGAATTATAGTTTTGATTTTGTTACATATGGATTTTATTAATGGATTATCTTCTTAAATTCAAGGTTATATTTTTATTGATGTCCACCCCTTGCCATCTCCCCTTGTCCATTTTCATTTATCAGGCTCCCTTATTGCAACATGTTTGAAGCTGTATCAATGCAACAAGTTTACGATTATTTACAATTACATATACCTGTATACTATTATTTACAAGAAGTAACGAGGGATTATATTCACTCGGAGGGAGATACATGTACCTGTACATGTATACTGTTAATTACAAGAAGTAACAAGGGATTACATTCACTTGGAGAACATGTGGTATTGGAAACTTTAACATGTTGTTGAAAAGGAGCCTGAATATTACTTTATAGGATGTTTGTAGGGCTGATATAGATTATTAAGTTGAGATAAACTCAGAAACTGAATTGAATACCACCGCTTTCGAACCTATTTCTTTGTGTTCCTATTTGTGAATACTTCCAACTGGAATAATTTAAGTAAGAATTTAGATTGTTCATTGGCTGAGAACTAAAGTCAAAGCAAAGAGTTTAGGTCTTGGCCAATAAAAAGGCTGCATTCTTAAAATATCATTATAGTTCATGTTTTCATGGATAAGGCCACAAACCTTTAAAATTTCAAAATTAGTACATGTTTATATGTATCTTGGGCAAGATATATGGTAGGTCTTCTTCAATGATGCACTTAACTTAATAATCTATTGACAGAAGGTAAGTTTTGCTGAATGTCTTTCAATATTTCAGGCATTAAGTTCGTAACATAATGGATCAATATTTCCACTTCAGACTGACTTAATAACTTTTCATTGTAAAACTAGACCACAGTCTAAAGAAGATCTTGATAACCCATGTGTTATGAACTTCCTAAAACTGAGCAACACACATTTTGATACAAGACTTGTGTTTAGAGAGCTATTACATCCCAATCCTGGATGATGACACACATTGATTTAATGCAGCTTGATTGCACTTTGGCCCCTAAAGAACAATTGGCAGGCTACAGTCATGGTTAAGGCCAAACCAAATTAATTTTAAGTTCTTCATTGTCTTGATAACTTAATGGGAAGAGCAAACAAATAAGCGATGTTTTGTTTAAAGTTTCAAAGTTAAAAAATATGGAAGGTACAAACTGAGATATGAGAAGCAAAATTTTAATTGGTTTGGCCTAAACAACAAAAGAAAATATGACATACACATAAGCCACTGACGATTCTAATGGACACTGACTTTACATATTATTTGCATCAACGTTTGGCCTGAAGGGTTTGATGTGCAGTTGACTGTGTCATCCCTGTCCTGTTGGCATCTTATAAAATAATCAGACTAATAATCAAATACTACCAGTCTGCCCTATAATAAACCTAGAATCGGAAAACCAAAATACATGTATTACACATTTTAGCATTAATTTCTTTCTCAGTGCTACAGTGACATACTGGATATTTTATATGGTCTACCTTTCATTTCCATTAATAATCAAACATACTTTAATTAATTCCAAAGTTAAAGCACAGGCTTGAAAAATTGAAATACTGATTTATAAACAAGATGAGCTCAATAATCCCCTCGTGTTTAGATTCCGAAAAAGTACATAGAATAATTTTGTTAGACAGTCCTGTCTGTATTGTCCTGGTTGCTGCAGAAAAGTAGGATGCTAAGCCCCATTTCATTTACAGACAATTCAGATTTGGATGTCATTTACTTTATTTTCAATTCTGTAAACGAGGAGGATTATAATAGCCTGTCTTGTTTATTTTACTGTATACAACATCGACTACTCCTGTAATGCAGGTGCACCAAATATTCTCTGATAAATACTACATACACTACAAGTACAATAAAACTGGTAATCTTCTAAGGATATAGCCAAGTCAACATATTTTAAAAGGCCAATTAATGACGTCAAATTATTTTGACTTTTATAGACTCATTTCCACATGTTCATTAACTTTAAACTTGCCAGAAGATTTATGGCTACTTTGAAGAAACTTCCCCAGCACTGTTATTATAACATCTTAAAATATTGGTGCACTTGTTAACTGGAGAAATT